TGCATGATAACGGATCGTCTTGTCTGAGTTGGTTATACCCATTTTTCACTGAATACAACCCCGATTTAGTCCCTGTCCAGACCACTCTATCCGCCTCATTTTCCTTCGGTAAAGGAATAGATGTTATCTCCTTCACTACTCTGTCATCAAACAGTCGCCTAAGTGTCTGCTCATCCCAATTGGGCACATTCTTGTCTATAAGATCAGCAACAAACACTGGGTCATTGCAATTCGCTGGGCCTCCAATAACCCCTTATGGTAACCACTTATCCTCCCTCACGCTAATGGATTCACCATTCCCTACAGACTACATAGTCGACTTCGTAATGGCATCCCTACCCATGATCAAGCTCTGCCAGCCCCACGATGGTCTAGTTCCCTTCCCCGCATGCCAGAAATCGGTATTAGGAAAATAAATTCCTTTTAAAAGTTTGCTCCATAATGCGGATGGAGACTGAATGATCCTCCAGGCTTGCTTCCCCAACATGGCCTTATTGAAGGTGATCAAATCCCTGAAACCCAAGCCTCCTTTGTCCTTTCTTGTTTTAAGTAACTCCCATTTTTTCCAATGTATACCAGCTTTTGATTCCCCATTCCTCCACCAAAAGGCAGCAATTTTTCGCTGCAATGCACGACAAATAGATAAGGGAATTTTGAAAATGGACATCGCATATTGTGGTATCGCTTGAATCACAGCCTTTAGAAGCACTTCTTTCCCTGCCTTTGAATCAAATTTTCCTTCCGCCCTTCCAGTTTCATATTGACCCTAGCCAGAATCCATGCAAACATGTCTTTCTTTGAATTTCCCCAATCCGACGGTATTCCCAAATATTTTCCTGTTTTTTCTATTTTCGGGACACGCAATTCTTGGGCCATATTCTGTCTTAATCTCAAAGGGCAACCGGAGCTAAAGAAAATACCTTATTTATTTAGGTTAATAGTTTGGCCAGTAGCATAACAATATTGGTTTAAAACCGTAGCCACATTTTGACATTCGCTCACTGTACCATCAAAAAAAAAGATAGAGTCATCAGCAAAAAGCAAATGAGTGAGTGTTGGGCAAAATCTATTTAATCTGATCCCTCTTATAATATTTGCCTTTGATGCTTGTTTCATGAGCAAAGAGAGTACGTTTGCTATGATAATGAACAAGTATGGGGAGAGAGGGTCACCTTGCCTAATTCCTCTCGATGGCTGAAAGTATGGTAAAGATTCGCCATTGAATTTGACGCTAAAGGATACTGTAGTAACACATTGCATAATCCACGATACCCATTTCCTGTAAAACCCCATCTTTAACATACAAGCTTCGAGAAAATCCCATTCTATTCTGTCATAGGCTTTTTGCATGTCTGGTTTTAGAATTGCCTGGAATTTCTTCTTCCTCTTTCTAATTCGGAGCTGATGAAGTACCTCTTGGACTACCAGGATATTATCCTGAATCTGCCGGCCACCAATGAAAGCACTCTGTTCTATCTCGATCAATTGGGGAAGCCAAGGTTTCAAGCGATTTGCCAAAACCTTTGATATAATCTTGTACACAAAGTTGCAGAGGCTAATAGGTCTATATTGGCTGAGATTGTCTGGATTAGGAACTTTTGGTATAAGAGAAATTAGAGTTCTGTTAATGGATGGGCCAACACTCCGCTACTCATGAAATCTCTCACCATTCTGACGATATCAGCATGAATATCCCCCCAATGATGTTGATAAAACTGTGCATTAAGTCCATCGGCCCCGGCGCTTTCAATGCTCCCATTTGGAAAACAGCATCCTTGACTTCTTGTAAAGTTATGTCCGCTATTAATGCTTCATTAATCTCTTCCCCAACAAGACTAGGACACTGCTCAAGAACTGGTTGAAAATCATGAGGGCCTACTAATTTGTACAGATCCTTGAAAAAATCTGTTGTTACTTGTTTAAGAATGTGGGGATCCCTACTCCATTCCCCTTCTGATATCATCAGCATCGAAATTTTATTTCTCTGTCTTCTCTGAATTGTGGCAGCATGAAAGTATTTGGTGTTTTTGTCTCCCCATTTCAGCCACGAGATTCGAGATCTCAATCCTCAGTACATTTCTTCTTGTCTCCATAAGTCATGAATTCTTTCTTTAATCTGTTTCACTCTCTCGTTATCATTCTGGGTATTAGTGCCATTTGTGATAATCTGGAGTTCCATCTTCAACTGGGTGATTTGCTTTTGTGCATTAGAGAACTTTTTCTTGCTCCAACTTGTCAAAGCCGTTGTCGCCTCTTTTAATTTTCGCAAAAGGCTCTGATTCAGCATATTTGAGGATGTCCAGGCCTTTTTAACAACATCTCCATACTCCTCATCTTCAACCCAGAATGTCTCATATTTAAACTCCTTCCGGCGTTTCACTCTTTCAGCTTCCAAAGACAATAGAATCGGGCTGTGGTCTGACCCAATCGCAGGCAATGCATAGGCTTCTGCATTTGGAAATAATATCCTCCAATCGATATTGCACAGGACCCGATCCAATCTTTCCTTCACATAGGCTTCCCCTTCACGATTGTTAGCCCAAGTAAATGTGCGCATCCTTTGCATTCAAGATCCATTAAAGAACAGTTATTCAGGAACTCCTGAAATGCATTCAATCTATAATGTTCAGCCATTCTTCTACCCACCTTTTCCCAATGATAAAGGATTTCATTAAAGTCCCCTAAACAAATCCAAGGAAGGTTATTAAGAGAACTCAAACCTTTCAATTCCTCCCACAATCTCAGCCTCTCTGGGAACGTGTTTGGTGCATGTACCAATGTGATTCTCATTCTCGTCTTGCATTCATCATCTTCATAAATGATATTGACAAACTCATCGGAATATGACTCCACGGTGACCGACACCCCACTACTCCACATCATTGCCATCCCACCTACAATACCTCTGGGATTTACCACAAAACAATGCTAGAAATTAAGCCTACGTTTCAGCCGGAGCACCACTGGTTGTTGGTTTTTAGTTTCCATAAGAAATAGTAACCTGGGCCTTTCTTGAGTCACTAGGACTCTTAAAGCTCGAATTGTCAGAGGTGTGCCCAACCCCTGACAATTCCAACATAGAAGCTTTATATGTACCCCGGTGGCTTATTAGGGCTAGCCACCAAAGCCTAATTTCTAGAATTCTCAGAGACTTGTATCGGAGTGTCCAATAACCTAGTTTCATCCAGTGACGTAGAGTTCTTCACCTGAGTATCATAAGGATTATACCTCCTCGCCTTTTTGTTACCTGGTAGTTTGCTCCCAATCAACTTTTTCTTTTGAGTTCCTGCCAAGGGCAGATCTGGGACAGGAATAGGGATCTCCCTGGTTGAGTTAGGTCCCTAGCTTTGCTGATTGACATGGCCGTGGGAGTTAGTTACTGGAACATAGGTAATAACTTGTGTCACATCAGCAGGAATTTCTGGTATAATTTCGTCATCCATATCCTCATCCCCCTTTTCATCGTTAAAGAGCTTCCAGAAAGGGCTGAACTCATTAGCTTCAGCTTTGAGCCAATGGCCAAAGCGCACATCTATTCCTGCTTCAAATTTTTCCTCATCGAAAGGGAGTATCTCACAATGCTTAGCATAATGCCCAATTCTGTCACAAGAATAGCAGAAATGTGGTAACCTTTCGTACTTGAAATCCACCCAATGTTTCTTGCCTTTATAGTTCACAATAGTTCCTGGCATCAAAGGTTCCAGTAGATGAATATTCACCCTCGCCTTACCCATTTTCGACGTAGCAAAGCTCCTGCCATCAACCTTCACTGCGTCTACATATCCCAGAGTTAGTGCTGTTTTTCGGATAGCTTTCTCGGAAAGAAGCTCGAAAGGTAGCCCATAAATATGAACCCAAAAGGTACAATGTGTAAAGACATAACGGTTTGACGAGGCAAGAATTCCTTTATTTTCTTCGATTTTGCTTGGGTTGCGAAAGTAGGTGTTGTGTTTTGCCGTGCGTAAAAAGAATAAAAAGGCAGCAACCATCCCATTAACCAAATCTAGTTGCACAAAAAGAAAGCTAGAGGATCAAAATTTGCACAAATAAACGAGTTAGATGGCAAAATGTTGGCATATCCAATAATATAAACCCCCACACGAATGTTAGGTCAAGGACATCATCCACAATGTGAATGCTCCTTTTTTCTCTAGCTCGCTGACAAACAACTAGGTTGACAAACCAGCGACGGAACCAGGTTTGAATCCGTCATTACTTTTGATTGAGCGTGAACTTGATTTTGCCTTGATTTTCTCTCGACGGTACTTCCCTCGTCCTATTATTCCTTCTAGTAGGTCGTCGTCGTCGTCGTCTGCTCACGCCATTGACTTCACATTCTCAAGTCACCGAGAGAGAGAAGTGATGATGGCGGTGATGGCAATGATCATTGGAGTCTTTGGCTGGTAAGGATCAACTTGAGGGACCTTTTCTGGAGACAAGACCTTCCTATTGAACTCCAATTAGTGACAAAAAATTAATCAATTGGACTAATCACAAGTGTTAATCGATCGAATTTTGATGGATTTTTTCGTGTTCGGAGTTGAATTTATATACGTAGTTGTTTATTTGGTTAACTCCATTGTATGAATGAAATTTTGCTACCAAGTCCTATACTTAACAGCAATAATCTCTGGAGCATATGTCATCCTTTATGTAAGGAAAATAGATGGTGGGGACAGAGAGGGGACATAATGTATCTAACTACAATAACAAGAATAGAGCTAAAATCCAAAGACTCGATGTTCAAAAGTTTGACTCTTGACTATCATATGAATAGGACATGTCCAGCCTTTGTATAAGTTGTTGAATCTTCTACCAAGTAGATGCTATAAATAGAGAGTGGTACCTCAGTTCTTCCTCAGCCCTCCAAAATTTTCTCAGAATTCTTCGAGCAAATTGAAGAATTTCGAATTCCCCAAGTTCCTAATCGAAGCAAGCACCATGAAGGTAATAAATTGTTGAGAAAATCATGAGTTGATTCATCGAATTCACCTTCTTGATTTTCTCTTAACTTCTCTCTTTTTTTTTCTTTTTTTTTCTTTTTGCGGCAAAAGGTCATGATTAAGGTGTCTATGAACGACCACGCCTCCGGTTTTTATTGTTTCGGCCCCCAAAACCCTCACTCCAAAGCTTTGAGACTTACGAGTGGCTTTCCAGGTGATTGTTTTAGGTGTTTCGAGATTGAGAACAGCAGAAGGAAAAGAAATAGCCCACCATTTGAGTCGAAACTGAGCCTGTTTCCTTTGTTAAATTCTCTCCAGGAGTTCAATCCGTGGCGCTGGTGGGTGACCAGGATCAGATCGAGGTAACCGGGGAGATCGATGCAGTCAAGCACACCACTTTGCTCAGGAAGAAAGTCGGGTTCGCAGAGATAGTGTCCGTGGGTGAGGTCAAGAAAGAAGGCGAGAAGAAAGACAAATCCGACGAAAAGAAGGACTCACAGCCTGTCGTATGGTCGTACCCGCACCTTGAAGTGCTCTACCTCGGGGATTCATACGCACCGTTCTGGCCCCTGTAGGATCGACAATGATACTCATATAAATGTACAACATCGATGTGATAAGCTATTTATATGAGCAGTTTTGAGATGTGAATTGCGGATTTTCACCTAGATTGAAAATATGTGACCGTGCTATGGCCGAGACTACTCTCTGATTTTGACTAGATGGGGTCTCCAAGATTCAGATTAGTGAAACCATGACCAATACTTTTTCACATCTATTATAATTTCAACATCGAGCGGATCCTCATGCCTTCATGTCGATAGAGAGTATGAACCACAACGCCACCGATTGATGTCTGAAACTTATCCAAGGCCGCAATCTTTGCCAGCCCGACACACCAGGTCAAGAGCCTTAGCAGCTAGCACCACCATTCTATGCTTTGGCATCTCTCTTCCCTCCCTCGAGCCTCTATCAAGCTCTTTCTCTCTTCACTTTCAAGGCAGAGGTTGTGAGCTCTAATTGGAGACCTTCACCGCAAATCACAAGTCGTCTGCCTCAGGCTACCCAAATAGAAGGTTCCCTAAGGCTGAGCAACCTTCTAGAGAGAGAGACAGAGAGAGAGCGAGAGGACTTGATGAAGAAGGCCAGCCATGGAAGGCGGTACAGTGACGTAGCTACACAGAGAGTGAGGGATAGAAAGGAGTTGGCGTTTGGACTTTTTGAGGGAATCCATCTAAATTAAGGACGTATATTAGTTTTTCTAAGGTAATGTGGGCAATGTACGTGCAACTGCTCCCTAATTTAGAACATCTTTATCCTTCTGTTATAAAAGGTGGCGTGTATCAAAAAATAAGAGCCGGCAAACAATTCGAAGTAGATTTGGTGACAACAGGCGAATTGGTAACTTACTCGAAGACGTTGGTAAGTCGCTCAAATGAACGTTCTGGGCAAGCTTGTAAACAAATCGAATTAGAGTTAGATAACTCGATAATGAATTTGCTGCACTGATCCCCTAAACACATCATAAAAGCTATGAATAATCCTGGTAGTTTCAAAGGCGTGCTCGAGCTAAAGGTTCATAGAACGGGGGCAATAGCTATAACGAGTCATATGAGAATTTCATGCTTCATTGATGTTGTGGGAACACACACTCTAATTCAAGCCAAGCTAGTAACTTCGGCATCTCACATCATATAAAAAGGACCTTGCTTTCTGAATTTTATGTACACTACATGTCAAGTTTACCTTCGGAGCGTGGGACCATGTAAGAGAACAAACAACAGAATACAAACAGCACCTCGATAATGATATAGCAAGAATAGCAAGAATGACACTATACAACAAGCATTCTTCACTGTACATTCTTATCATGAACTCCTGTTGTTTTTAGCGGTTCCAGATAAGCACAACAAAATATCAGCCTCCAAGACTGTACGCAGGACGAAAACTTTGGTTATAAGGATGATCTTTGACTTGATCAATGGATGCAAGCAAATTGACCTGCATAAGAACCATAACTTAACTTTAACTATGAAAAGTCAAATGCATTTCTTCTTTTCCCAAAAGTGATATGGTTTAAAGAAAAGGAAGCACTAAGGCTGCTCGGTGAGCAAGCACCGTAATTACCATCATGATCTCGCACTTTGAGCTGGACCGTGTCGAAGCTGCCAAAACACTGAAATGGAAGTCCTGTAATGGAATAAGCACATGATTAGCATCTAAGCAAATTAAATAGTAACTCGTCCACGTGCAAAGTTCATGTTGTAGAGACGGACAAATTACTTTGCAACCAATTTAACTATGGTTGAATAATCAAACAACAAGAAAATCAGTCTAGCAAAGGCCATAGCCTGCAATGAACCCTGTCAAAGGAGTTCCCTGAAAATCATTCCAACTTTGGTTTTCAAATGCATATTCGATAGAGTTTAGCAAACTATAAGAATTAGCAACTATCTTTTCACCAATCATTCAAAAACCTAAACAAGAATAGGAATATTTCATGGCCGCCACCTGCATTCAGAGAAATCTGACAGACATCCCCTACATACGATTGAATCTCCTTGGCAGCCCATCCAAGGTGGAAATTCGAGCCCTCCAAGAGAATCAAACCCCTAAGAACTACAGGAGTCCTGAGAAAAAGAAGACGGCGCCTCATGTACAAAAATAGACCCCTTTGTTTTGAGAAGCCAATCTAGGACTCTTGAATCTCAGGAAATCGATCCCTTCAACAAAGGAGGTCAACCCATCATCTGTCATTGTATGGGACTGACAAATACACATGATCCTACAGACAATTTACTCAATACGAGTGGACAAAACATACGTATCCCCACTCAAAAAAATAATAAAACTAACAGTTTCAAACTCAATTTTGGCACATGAAAATTGACTTCAAGTCTAAAATCACCATAGTCAAATTAATAACCAAATGTACTTCAAGTTGAACCCGTCCAATTCCTATGGATAACAAACTAGGTGATGGAAGTAATATAGGAATATTTCTAGAAGTATTACTTTGGGCATGTTGTTGTTGAAACTCCTCCTATCCACATTGCCAACAGTATTGACATCCAAATATTACTTGATTCTTTGTTTAATAGAGAAATCATCTTGACTAGGGGATCAACACTCTCGACAAGAGCAATAAACATGGGTTTGAGCTCTTTCTCTTACTCTGGGAGTTATTGACACAAAAAGAAATCCGACCATCTTGAAAAAGGGGCTAGAACATCCCGTCCCATTTCGATGGGTCCTTTCTCTTAGGACTTTGTTCAGTAAAAATTGATGAAAGCGAAGGAGTGTCATAATCCGACCAAAAAAAAATAAAGGTGTCATAACATTTTCTCCAGGAAGTTTAATAGCAAATATTAGGGGACAAGACACAGTCAGCAAAACTGTTTTTACAATGTTTCTCTATCATTACTAACCCATGTTCCTTGTGATTGATGGACGTCGTAGACTAGTGGCAGGACTCAAATATAGGTGAACCGATTGCTATTATTTAAAGGAATTGGGAAACATTTTCAGTCTACAAGTTAATGTGCTTCTTACACAGCTTATGCAACAAGAACACTTACCCTAAAGGGATCGCCTCTTAAAGACTGCACATACATAGAATTTCCAGAGTTCCCATCCTGCAAAGAATAGATTAGCGCACACGAACACCAATATCTTGCAAACCTTTTATACAAAGGAGTCTTATAACAATTATTGATGTGTACCTCCAAGAAGACATCCCTCAGTCGCCTTCCAGTTTGAGCACAGCAGATGCGGACTACATGCTCATCACAACTTCCACTGATGACGTAATCCCTTCCATTCATGTAATATGAACGTGTGTAATTATGAGCACTTCCAGTTGAAGCTATCTCAAATTTCATTTGGATCCTTCCATCACCAGCTAAAAGCTGCTTGACCTGTAGCAGTCAACAATTAGCCTCCGCTGTTTTTCTATGGAGTTAAAGGACACCAAAACTTCATGATTCTCAAGGATAACTGCTCAACCATTTCAATTTTTTTTTTTTTTTGGCTGGAAAAGGGGGCTCAGTGGGGGTTTCAAGAGGTTTTAAACACTGTAATTTACCCAACATCACAATCTTCACTACATTCTCCTGAAAATCCTGAATAACCAAAAACATACACCTCCATCAAGCACATTCATGCAAACAAATGTGCAACATATCAAAACTTCAATGGGCTATTGAGGATTAGGACTAACCCTAATCAAAAGGGTAATGTCAGCAAAGTGTATGCAATAATGACTTTACAAGATTCAAGCATATCAACCTCGAGAATTTCAGTCTGTTGTGCTATATGAAATATTAGATATGAGAAGGGTCTGGTCTGCTCATTGCCAAAATCCTCTGCCCATTCCACATGTTTATTGGTGTCAACAGCTGAGAAATGAAAAACCGCAAAAAAATGGGACACGTGTCTATGTGAAATACCTCGTTATCAACAGCGGAGACCAGTAGATAGTGGTCATCAGGGGAGAAGCAAACCATTACATTTTCTCTGGAGCTTGAAACTGTATAGCAAGGTCGCACCGGAGTCTCTCTCAGATCCCACATCTTGACATCACGGTCGAATGATGAAGTAGCAAACAAGAACGGAGAGTGATTTGCAAATTTAGCAACATTTATAGGTTCGCGGTGCAAATCCCTGAACAACTCCATGCGTCCACCAGTGGCAATGTCATAAAGAGCAATGTTTCTTGTGTATCCACTAACAAGAAGCCTATCGTCCATTGAATTAACATGTACGGAGGTCAACTGCTCAAAATCATCAAAAGCAACGGCATCATAACTGAATGAGAAGTCTGGAACTTTCGGTGGTATACAGTTGATGTCAAACAACTTCAACGACCCGTTGTCAGAACCTGCAATAAGCTACTTGTTCGAAAAACAGAAGACCATCAGTCACCACAATTCATCAAATGGCGAAAGAAAAAGAGTACTATGAAACTAAGAAGCTGTGAAGTAATATTAAACCTCTTGCTAGATGAAATATCTAACCTTGTCAATACAAGGTTGTTTTATATCTACACATATCCATCCAAGCCAAGTGCTAAGCAGATAGAGTTTAGCGGAGTGGGCTATGACTATTGACTGTACATGAAACCAGTATAGAAAGAGCACATGTTCAAGTTCAATGTTTTACCTCAAGAAAATGTCCCAGATGAATTGTGCTATGCAAGCCTTAAAGAGAGCAGTTTAACCAGCATCCCAATATATGTTTGCTTTTTCTTTATACAGATTGATGTTTTTAAATTGTACACGTCGGAACAAATGCTTATAAATTCATATATGCTATATCATTCGCTACTCCTTAGGATCGAGTTATATAGATACCTTGGATGGATATTTCTTGAGCCAACAGAGACCCAAAATACTATTTTCCACTCCTGTTGATGGGACATAACCGACAATTCTTCCACCTTCATGGTTGGTAATAATTATTTCGCCATCCAAAGTTCCAAAAGCCATAAGAGAAGGGTCTGACGGATTGTACTCAAACTGCCTTGGTCGAAGTTGTGTACCTTCTTCTTTGATAAGATGGCTAATTTGTGAAACTGGTTGTATGACAGGCCACATGGACGATCCAAGTTTTGCTGCACTCAGAGATCTTGAGAAAAAATGTTGGCCTGTCCTAGGAGAAACTGAATGCTTTAATTTAATTGATTTTGGGTGGTAGAAGCTGACTTTTCCCATTTCACGTTGATGTAGGACTGCAATGACACTTTCTTTGTGCTGTCGCCCATAGGGTAAGTTCTCATAGTGGCTCGAGAAGACATTTTTTGCTACTTCTTTGTCCACCTCCTGGACAGGAAGGTTGTCCAATACTTCCAAATGAGGCAGACAAACAATCATATATTCTCTGTAGTATTTCTCATAGCATATAGGTGAGCAATGATGCGAGACATACTTTTTGAATGTTGCACTACCATTCCTTAACTTCTGCTTTTGAGCGCACATAAAAACCGATTCTTTGTCAATGATCTACAATCCGCCAAAAGAACCCTGTTATCAATCTAACACTTTCATCATCTACAAACAGAAACAATAATCCACTCCCCAAAATCCTATAGGTATATTGATGTAAAGCATACCCCTGTCTTACCCCATTTTGCAGCCTTCCCTCTCCATTTGTACGCAAACACGTACTAGATGATAGTTAAAATAGATTCATTCTTTTATAGTGATTGACATTTATCATCAGTATCATTAAACGAACCATTATTTCTGCCCCAGAATTCATTGGCTATAGACAAATGCATGAGAGGAAGTAAGCTGCTTACTTGCTCAACTTCATCAAGAACTTTGTGTGTGGTGCTGCCATGAGAAACAGATTGTACAGCTTTGTAGGAAGGATAGTTCGGTAGAACTGAACCAGTTTCCTCACCAACAAGAAGATTTGCCTTTTCACTGTAGAGGGAAGCACACGGCCCAGTGTCATGGCAACATAAGCATTTCTGGAATCGTAGTTCCACTAAAGAAGGAAGCTTAGACAATACAGCAGTTGTAGTCCAGAGATTAGCCACTCTTGTCTCGCACATTGATAAACGCATCAGATTTGGCATGCCAGAAAAACAGTCCTTGTGGAAGCTAGTGACTGAAGTACAGAAATCCAGGTTAAGGGTATGCAACTGTGTAAATCTACCAACCATGTTGAGCTTCTGAATTTGGAGGGACCAGAAACAGAAGACTTCACAAGAAACTCCCCTCTTGCTCAGATTGCTGTAAAGAGAGCAAAATAACTAAGACCAGCTAAAATGTCAATTGTCACTGAAAAGTGCATAGCATAACCGGTACTTAGGAAACTTGGTAAAGAAACCTAAAATTAACAAAAGTCTCACAAACGGTGGTAGGGGGGTTAATTGTCATTTTAAGCACTATAGGGGACCTTTTGCTGATAAAATTTTACGAGAGGTCAAGTTTCAACAGACCCAAAAAAAAAGGAAGTGTTGAAAACAATTTATCTTCTTTTGTTAGAGGGAGGGTGTGATAAACTGAATTTCTTGGCAAAGCATGAAATAAGCTCAAAGCGATATTAATACTAACCTTAGAAAGTCCTCCCCAAGGGATGAATCCTGGAGATTGACAGCATGTAGCTTATCACCAATCGCAAGCATCAAACCAATGAGATGTTCCGAGTTCAAGAGACGAGGTGCGTTATGAACAACGTCAACTGTGTCAACATCAAAAGAGTGGATTTCCATGAAAACATCAATTAGGAGGAGGAGATCAGTGTCCTGTAGATGATCCAGTGTGATAACAAGGTGACATTCTCCACAGGAAGTCATCTCAGTCTTAGCCTGTGTAACAAAGATATTACAAAACCGCGACATAAATTCTTTCAGACATCCAAGGAAAAATATGAAAAAGAACAGTGCAGTATTAACTCCAAATTCTGGATATTCGAGCTACATGAAGGTATAAATAATTCAAGTTGACCTTGTTTCAAGAAGAACCTAACAAGTCTCTTAGGTGCCAAATATTGCTCATCTAGTTATGATTAATACACCAAAAACAGCAAAAAGTGAGTGCGACCTTCATATGCTTTAGTATAAAGCTTTGGCTTTTTTGCAACATAATGCTCAATTTCTATTTTAAGAGAAACCTAACCAAAAAGCTTTAGTTGTAGGTGCACCCGAGTGCATTTTCGTATATAGCCAACCTAGACCTCGTGAGTGAGCAATATGCTAAATGAATGCAAGCCCCCGTTTCAAATCGAAACAATGTAGCAGGATAGGGTTCTTTGCATGTAAAGCAAAAGCAAAGCACAAGATCAAAGCAAAGTGCAAACCATTACTATGTAAAACACCATCCAAGTGTCACATTATAAGAGAAGAAAAGAACAAGGACATGGGGGCAATACAAATTTTGCACTTAAGCAATGTGGCATATCTAGGCTCAGTGAACATGAAATATCAGTGGCAAAAACTGCTATGACCTCCAATCCTTTCATTCTAACTGAAAACTTGCCATTCCATATTCCACTTCAAGCATCCAAAGTGTAAATTTGATACAGTTCTCCATTCTTCCATTTGGACCACAACGTTGAACCTTCCCATCAAGGACACAAGGTTTAATTGAGGGCCAATTGCTCCAAATTAAACAGAAGATTTTTTTTCTGAATAGATAAATGTCTTTACATAGATAGGTATGTCCTTAATCAAAACACATACACAAGTTGAGGAAACACAATTTATGTGCTTTCAAGAGACAATACCAATCATATCGCAAGACAGATTCTGTTCTGAGACTAATAATTTGATTATCCCCCTACATTTATTATAATCAGGTATCAAAAGCCTACAACACATCAGCATTAGGTGCATCATACAATATACAAGCAATGCAGCCATTTTTTAGATTAATCTTTCAACAAAGAAAACTACGCCTTTCTATGCAAGTAATTCTAGCACTCGGGAAATGGAATCCCTGACTGTCTTACGGTTATAAGGCTTTCCTCGATAGCAGAATAACAAAAAAAGGGCATTCATGCAAAGCCACAGTAGACAGTTCATCCAAGTCCGATATGTCTGCGATAAACTTGAGCAACAAGATGGTTATGATGTGAGATTCTTTCATGATATGCAGCATTAAGCACTTGGACATATCATTGAGTAAAGGAATCCCATTACATCACAAGTCAAAGTCGGGACCTTTGAAAACCACGATACGACTTCAGCATTGGGTTGCGTCCGATGCCTCTTGCAAGAATCCAGATACCTGACAGTATAAACCAAGGACTAACCAAGATCAGAAAGTAATTATCATCCGATGGCCAATCACTTTACCCGGTTAGCGTACTTATAACAGCAGCCGGTTAGCGAACTGGTCACAGCCAATGAATGTAAAAAAGCAGGCAACAAAGAAAAAGCACAGCAAGAATCATTTTAAGTCATTCAATTAAACATCCAACAGAAACAGGAGATACATTATACACAAACTCGCAAATACTTCATTTCTGAGTACATATTAGCTGCCAATTAACCCAACTCCAAGAGACAGATCTATGGTGCTCTGTTTTCCGATAGTGCTCGCCCCAAAATTCGTTCTTTAAGCATAAAAAAATTTCAGCAAAAAAGAAAACGGCTAAAAATCCAGTCTTCGGCGTGATGACAACTGAACATGTAAAGCAAGACATCAAGCACGCTAATTCACTCGAGCAAACTCGTTTCCTTCAACCATTTCAAGCAAATTTCACTCATTACGCAACGCACTCGCAACCCGACACCGCAACACAAGCCGTCCTCCGACTTCATCGGAACACAGAATTCTGCAATCGCAGCGACAACGACAAGAGAACAAAACCCAGTTCACGTGAAGGGGAAAAGAATCGCAGGGAGGCCAAAGAGAACGAAGACCAGGACAGAGCGCGCGTACCGAGCTTCCAAGCCTGGTGTCCCCATGAAGAAGGCAGGTTCGTGTTCCCTGGTCATTCAGCTCCTGCGCAAATGGGAAAGTGGGGAGCGGGTAAGCAGTGCACAAGCAGAGGAGCGTTTCAACGGGAACACACGGGCGAAACTACAGAAGGGATAAAGCACAGGTGGCGGTGGCACCAGCTGAAAATTTGTACGGACTTTTGTGGGGACAGAGACGCGACTTGATGTTTGAGTAAGAGAGAGACAGAGAGAGGAGACAGCGATTTTTGCAGGTACCCTAAGTATGGCGGGACCCGCCGTATTACAAGGACAGGAAATTTTTTACCAAACAAAAGAAAGTGTTGCGGCGAAGATACAGGTCCCAGGAGGTTTCCTCGCACCTTCTTCCGATTTTTGCTGTTTTGTTTCTTCAACAGAAAAATCTAATGTTGTAGTTTCTTCAACAAAAATTATATGATTTTTTTGTAAATGGAAAAAAATGAATTGAGAGATTAAGGAACTCGTTTTGTGGGATAAGTGAATAAAAGAATGTTTACTGGAAACAGTTGATAGAAAGCTTTTAAATGGACGTATACGAGTGAAAAATAAAATTGGGACAAATGAACCTTCATTACTAAGGTATAAATGAACATGCCACCGGTCAAGAATAAAGAACATGACTTCGTAAAAAAGATGAAGTTAATCACCCAAGCCTAAAATGAATACCACCAGACTCTTTTATACAGTCAAAAATAAAGAAATTTTGGTTCACCACAAATAGAAATTGGATAGAGAACCGAAAATAGATATTCACTCACTTGAGTTAATTCTCGTGCATAGATTAAATTCAAGTCTTGTGTCATACAAATGGGATTGCACCTCTATTGGTAAAGGGACTCTTCTAAGCAAACAAAAATGACTCTTAGAATTCTATAACCGTAATGACTCTTGGATTGTCAACACACTTTAAGACTCATAAAATTAAGACTTGAAACCGACAAAATGCAATTAAGACAAGTGATAACAAGGACTAAATGTATTTAAATAAGACCAAATGCATAGTAACTTACATTAGACCCTCCAAATTCGTCTGCCAGCCTTGGAAGCTGAATAGCCACTTTGAAAGATCAACAACAGAGATGAAAATCAATTAGAACAGCCTCCAATTACTAAATAATTTATTAGAAGCCTCTAAGTCGACAATTAGTCTTGTAAATCAATAACTAGGCAGTCAATCGGTAATCAGAAAATCGATAACTTTTAACTTTGAACCAAGGAAGGCATTGTAATTGTAAGGACAAAATAGGAGTCGTGTCTATTAGGTATTCATCCCCATCCACGCATGGTCCCAACCAGCGGTCCTTGAGGCATGATGCACTTGAGGAGGACCGGGATCAAGCGAGAAGCACAAAGACACGTGACAGAGATAGCGACAAAGACAGAAAGACAAAAGATTTAGATAATGTTCTTCACCAAATCTAAGAAAGTGGAACAAAAGATCTTACATGAAAAAGACTAGCAGAAGATAGCAGCATCTTCCCTCTATATGGAATTACAGGTCGCCACATGATTCATCATTTTAATCGGCACGATCCACGATAGATGATTGAGGTTACTGCGGCCGGCGGGGGGGGGGGGGGGGGGGTGGTGTGGGGCGGGGGCGGGGGAGAAGGAGGGAGAACATAGCTTGTCTAAAATGCTTTCACTAAGTATTTATTTTGTGGTTAGTCTAGTGAATTTTTCAAAGATATACCCAAACTGTGGGCTTAATTAGTTCTACCAAAGCAAGAGAAGATTTTAAATCAATTATCTTTTTTTCTTCGTGAGACGGTGAGACTACTTTAAATCATCTTGACTATTAATATGAAACAGTTAACTCTCGGACTTATCAAATATCTCACTAATCACATAAGCCTAAGACACAGGAAGACTCGAGCTGAAACTCCGGTGAAAATATCTCAAAAAAGTTTATTATTTACCCTTTATTATTGGAGGAGCCGAACATGTCACATTACATGGGTCGGTTCCGTTAACTATACATAAAACTCATTTTTTTACTAGTGGGCCAATTTGCGACCTATCAATATACGTATAGGTTTTAAGTATAGGTTTCGACCGCTTAGAACATACATGTCAAAACCTTTTAACCCTTTTACACATTTGGCAATATAAAAAAAGATGATCCGACATAGGTTCCGAATTTTTAGTCTCGATCAGAAAGATTTTTTAAGGCTTTTTCCGAGCCACGGGGGCTCTAAGATTTTGAGCCTTGTAATGGAAGGTCTACCTCAACAGATCAGTAGCATTTTCAAACTGAAGGATAAGTAATGGAGAGAGATAAACCCTAGTGCACATAAGTATCTGCATGTACAAGTTATTTACTGGAACAAGGATTTTCATGGAGGTGCAACCCATCTGGACTCTCTCCATAGATATGTTCCATCCCCTGTCCAGGTATATACTGCAACCAGCAATTTGTGTTCGGTTGGCACTAGGGCAATAATTGATATATAAAGTAGATATTACATAATGAAAAATAAGGTCCATACCGTACATAATGACTCCTTAATAAATTCAAAATCGCTACCGCAAGAAAGATAGACAGGAACTGCATGATTTATAAAACATCAAACCAATTGATGCTAGGACCCACATGCACCCAGATAAAGATAATGTTTTTAATGTAATTATATAACAATTGGTTAAAAATATATCATTTAAATGCAAAATGTCATTGTCTGTAAAACCCATTCAAATTCTTCCCAAATTCTCATAAATACAATATCTTTAGCTAAAGCCTGAAGCCAATCGTTGTATTGATCGACAACTCGATGATCCAGCCAATTAAGGCATCCTTTAAAAAAATTCATTAACAGGCACGCGATACAGGCATGCTTAAGATGTGTGATAACTACGATTGGAAAGATAATTTAAGGGATTGTGTGAAAACGGACGTGTTTGAAATTGGCATGATAAGCAATTAGTGGTTGCTAAGAGAAGCAAAGGAGACATGTTTCATGCATGCAAGTCTTTATCTTCTTCCAACTGGATGGCTGCTCGAGAGTCACTGTCCAACCAAACACATATAAATTATCATTTAATCTTCAATTATTCCATGATATATAGGTAATGAACATGGATATTTATTTTCTTTTTTGGGTCAACTTCTTGTTCCGCGGGGATTATGACAAGCCCCAAAATCAAAATCGGCCCTGAGAATTCAGAAGCCTTCTCGAGGAGATTCAACTCGTTAGGTAAGATTCCTTAGAAAGCAACAATGTTTGGTATGTATAGAGGACTCAGATAAGATATATCTCCCGTTATGTTGACCTTATTAAAAAGGCGAAGTTATCTTACTGGTAAGAGAGATGGCCAAGAGACAATCTTTATGATAAGAGAAAATAGGGCATTGGAAAGAGACATTTTGCAATGCAAAATCAAGAGGAAAATGAAAGACTATGGGTGCATTTGGGAAGGGCATCCAAAGCCCCTTGAGCCAAAATGTGGGTGTTTGGGAACAATTTTAAAAACTCCATTCAACAAAAGTCACCCTCGTGAAGTCTGAAAGCCCAAGGCATCCTAAGACCTGCCTTGGGCTTTCAGCTTTCTCGGCATGTAAGACTTCCGGGTAAGTAAAAAAAATTTCTTCCAAAACTACCATAATCTATTTTTTGATGTTCCGATTTTGCCCTCGTTTATCACGTCTTCTCCGCTTAGCTCGAGCGACGTGGCTATGAGGGGATAGCGATTGGCCAGAGAGAGGCCGACATGGTCACACAACCTAACGACCATCGCCTGGGTCGCACGACCGCTATGAAGGGCCACGCGTCCCAGGCGAGGGCCGCCTGAGGTCGCGCGAGTTCCCGGCAAGGTCACGTGACCTAGATGGCCTTCGCTGGGAACTCCCGTGACCTCGGAGAGGCATCGCGTGATTCAAGCGAGGGCCGGTTGAGATCATGCTACCCAGAAGACCCTCAAGGGCCGCCGGCGACCCAGATCTAGCGCCGCGTGGCCGTCGTCTGAGGTCAAACGACCTCAAGCAAGTTTCGCAACCCTCGTCGGGGGTCGCGCGACCCCAAGCGGCCCTCATCGGTGGTTGCCGAGGCTACCTGAGGTTGTTTGACCTCAGACGACGACTGCCGACCCTCGCCTAGTTTTCGCAACCCTCATCGGGGGTTGCTTGACCCCAGGCAGCCCTCATCGGTGGTCTCTGGGGGTTGCCTAAGGTCGTTTGACCTCATATGACGGCTGTCGACGCCAAATCTAGGTCGCCAGCGGCCGCCAGCCCTTCGCCTGCTCCGACAAGGGTTTGAACTTTTCTTTATTAAAAAATAAAAAAGTACCTTGCAAAAATAATTTTTCCAAATACTATTTTACCCAAAGTTACTTTGCAATGGAATTTTAAATTACAATTTAACAAACACAATTTGCATTTTGGAAAAATCTATTAACTTAAAGCCCCTTGTATTTTTCCAAAGACTTTCGCCCATAGTGTTCCCAAACGTAGCCTACGTACCTCAGCATTACAACATCCAACGCGCAAATTGCTAAACAACAAACAAATGGTGCGTTTATTTTCCTGAAAACTTCGTGATAAAGAAAAACATTTTCCATGAAAATCATTTTCAAAGAAAGCAATTAATTTTTGTTTATTTGATGGTTTAGAGAAAGTGAATTCCTTCATACCAAAAGAGGAAGTTGTTTTCCCCGATCTAAGCTTGTTGTTTTCAATTCGTAGAAAATATTTTTCGTAAATCAATTAGTTTTCTGTCATTCAAACATCAAAAAGTTGAAAAATAATTTTCCTTCAAACAAACAAATCCCAAGATTCTGTTCAATACGGATTCAACTGTAAAAAGAGGTGTTGTGATTTTTATAAGGATTTTGGCAAGCACTTCACTAATCCGGTTATTTCAAAGTTACATCAACTTTCAGAAGACTCCCTCGCCCCACATTGAGGTGCCGCATTTTTTAAAATTTGTAATTACAAAAGACATCTACAACTCAGCATAGCTAGAGTTTAGCTTGAGCTATACCAAACAGGTTCTAAGTGATGTTTTAATAGGTTTGTTTTCCCTTTTTCAGCCACTTGGTGTTTCATAAGTTGAAATATGTTAAAAGATTTATAGTGTATACATCTAAACTATCTTGCCCCAATTCCTCGAAGGCCTCTATGTCCAAACCATCATTTT